CAGGGAAGGTACTGAGGCAGGCGAGGATGTGTCCACCTGCTTTTAACTTGCTCGTCTGCATCACTCAGAATGTCACACACACACACACAAAAGGTGGAGAGCCTAAAATTGCTTAAATTTAAAAATTCTTCACTGGTAAAGGGTTAAAACTAATAATATTTGACTTAAATACTGTTCATTATCACTCAGTATATGATAAATAAGTTAACAGTAGAAAACTCTTTGACAAGTTTCTATCCATGACCCAATATTTTATCTTCATTGCTCATTTTTTTTCTTTTTTTTAATTATTATTTTTTTATTATGGTGACATTAGTTAATGAAATCCAGTAAGTTTCAGGTGTACAGTTCAACAGTAAGGCATATACATATTGCATTGTGTGTTCACTGCCTATAGTTAGATTTCTTTCTGTCACCACATATTTGACCCCTTTTACCCCAACTACTTTCCTCTCTCCCGTCCCCTGTGATAACCACTAGTCTATTGTCCATGTCCATGAGTCTCTGGTTTGTTTGTCCTGTGCTTTTAGGCTTATATCCCACATATAAGTGATATCATGTGGTTTTCAACTTTTTCTGTCTGGCTGATTTTGCTTAGCATGATTATCTATAATCTTATTTTTTAAAAAATTGATACCAGGATCAGTTTTCTGGGAGAACACACTAATAATTACTTGACCTCAAAAAAAATCTTTTCAAGTTTTTTAAAAGCAGTTACAATCCTGTTACATTATATAAGAGGTTTCTCAATAGGCAAGAACTATCAGCAATTCATTGAGTTAATTACAATAATTTCTAGAAACTTTGTATTTAAAAAAAAATAATTCATGCTCAGTGCAGCATGAATTACTTTATTTTAGAAAAAAGTAATTCATGCTCAGTGCAGCATGAATTACTTTATTTTAGAAAAAAGTAATTCATGCTCAGTGCAGCATGAATTACTTTATTTTAGAAAATAAACAAGCAAAAAAACATGAGAGCCTATCATTATACATGTATACTAATATTATAAAAGTACTGGTGTTTGTCCTTCTAGTATTTTATTGTGTGTGTTTTATATGTGTACCATTAATTCTTTTTGAAAAAAGGAAATAACACTATAGATAGTTTTAATATCCTGCTTTTTTTTCACTTAGTATAATTAGTCATTGCCATTTCCTAATGCTTTAAATGTTTTTCAAAAATAGATTTTTCATTGTTTGCATTAGGTAAACTATTTAACACTTATTCTATTGTTGAACATTTAGATTTTTCTCTAACCATTGCCTTCATTAAGTCTTGAAAGGCCTATCATATTAAATATTGTGTAATTGTTTCCACTTTAAGCTGGGGAGCCAGCGTTCGTATTGTCAGTTTACATTCAATCAAGACTGTGTCATGATACAATATACTTATTAGCCTTTGGCAAATATCAACAATAAAACCCTTAGGAAAGTCAGTCTTTCCAGTTGAGAGTGCTAGTTTTTAGTGTACTGGCCCTCCTCCCCTCATTTTCCTCTCCTAAATGTTGACCACAGTGACAGGCTCTTGGTGCCTCACTTCCTTTTCTCCTGAAAGATCTTTAGTTGATTTCCCAGTACTAGGATTGGGAAACCCCAAATCCTTCATGAGGTCCATGTCGATCTGGTCCTTACCTGTCTTGTCTCCAAACTTATTCCAAGCTACTCTGTCCACTAACTTAACAATGTCCTGATTCTCTGGTACCAGCTAATTCTTCCTTGTTGGTACCAAAGAGACTTAGGACTTTATATATAATCTACCTTTTCCTTGTTCTACCCATTTTGCTTCTCCTTAATCTAATTAACTTTACTCAGCTTTTAAATGTCAGTATGTTTTAAAATTTTAGCAAATGTTACCTTTTCAGAGAGGCTTTCCTTGACCAGCCATTCTAATGTAGATCTCCCCTTATTCTCTATTTGGATCAATATTTTTCTGCTCCACGCCATCCCTGACCCATCAACTTAAGCCCCAGGAGGGAGGAGACCATGATATATCATAAATCAGAGTCTGGAAATAGCTATATATTTTCTGCTTATAGAACTATTTATAATGTTAATATATGGAAAATGAATTTTATAATAGGAAATAAGACTTGTTTTAACCTTCAGACATTGTCTTAAATTCATGTTGACCTTCCCCATACTTGCCTTTAGCTAGTTAATATTTAATCTCTGATAATAATTCATTACCATGTTTGAAGGATATCTTGACAAAATGTGCTCATAATAGAGTAAGACTTTAGTGCAAGCTAAAGCATATCTGAATGATTTTAAAATTTTAAAAACTTGTGGATAAATTTACATACTGTAAAGTATATAAATCTTAAGTGTACATGCTTCAGTGACTTTTGATAAATGTATCTACTTGCATAACCAGTATCCCAATCAATGTATATAATTTTCCATCACCTTAAAAAAGTTTCTTTGTAGTCAGTCCTTACCCCCTTAGGCAATCACTGCTCTGATTTATAGGACCATTGATTAATTTAGTCTCTTGTTAAGCTTCATTTAAATGGAATTATACAGTATATACATTTTTGTATCTGTCTTCTTTTACTTAATCATGTTTTGAGATTTTTTTCTGTGTGGTTATATGTATCAGTTCATTCTTTTTTGTTGCTGAAAAGTATTCCATTTTATGAATTCATCATTTGTTTATCCATTTTTCTGTTGATGAACACTTAGGTTGTTTCAATTGGGTTATTATGAATAAAACTGCTATAAACTTTCTTGTACAAGTCTTTTTTGTGTGTGTGTGTGGACATATGTTTTTACTTTCCTTGGTAAATACCTAGGAATGGAATTGCCACGTTATAGTGATGTTATTTTTAACTTTATAAGAAACTGCCACCAGAAATATATGAGATTACCAGTTTTTCTACAACCTCACCAACATTTAGTTTAGTCAGTCTTTTTAATTTTAGTTGTTCTCCTGGATGCATGATGATATTTAATTTGCATTTTCCTGATGACTAATAATGTTGAATACCTTTTTATGTGCTTTTGTTAATTAACTGTCTTTTTAAGTCTTTTGCCCATTTCAAGTCTGTTTAAGTCTTTTGCATACTTTATATTGCCTGTATTTTGTTTATCTTTTTATTATTAATATTAAAGAGTCCTTTCTATATTTTAGATACAAGTTCTTTGTCAGATATTTGTTTTGCAAATATTGTCTCCTTCTGTAGTACATTGATTTTTTTTTCAGATTAACAATAGGACCCATTAAATTTAGAGGCATTTCACCTAAACCCATATTTAAGTAAATTACTTGAAAATATAACTGATATATTGTTTAGAAATAAGTTTATTTTTATGGACATACTATACAATGTTATAATTTTTGCTTTAAATAGTTGTCTTTTAAATAAAGAGAAGAAAATAAGAGCTAGTCTTTTATATTAACCCTATCTTAAAAATAGATCACATTTTTTTTCTGCTGTGAATGTCTAGTAATTTTTTATTATATACTGGACATTGTGGTTGATACATTATAGACACTCTGGATTTAGTTATCATCATCTGAAGATACTTTTTGTTCTAATAGGCAGTTCTAACAGGCAGTTAAAGTACCAGCTGATCACCTCGAAATTGTGGAGACTTGATTTTACACTTTAGGTTAGAGTGTCTGGAAACCTCGAGGTTTTTACTAATCTCTACTGACTTCGTGGAATGCAGACTTTAAAATGTCTTGCAACAGGCAGCAGCTGAAATCGCCGCTTAGTTCTTTCGGCCTTCTAGCTATGTATTTTTCCTCAGTTCCTTGGAGTCTTCTTCATCATGTGCTGTTCCAAGGCTGACAAGGTCTTTAAAGAGGTTTTCTATTAAAGTATTTGGGGCTCCTTCCTATGACTCACCCATTTCCAAGACTTTCCCCTTCAATTTCCACCTGCTCTGGTAATCCTGAACTTCATCCTCTGATACCTCAAGCCAAAAAAGATTGTGGCTTTTTGCTTAAGTTTTAGCCATTTTGTACCACGGGGATTCACTGGGCTGGGCATGGGAGGTTAAGGGTGTTCTTCAGGGCTAAAAGCTAATAAAAGTGGATCTTATTCATTGTGTTTTCTTTCAAGGGTCAAATCTGCTCTACTTTCTGCCTGCTTTTCAGCACTTTCAGTCCTTTAAATTACTTTTTCCCTTTCTTTGTGGAATTAGAAGTATCCCTGAATCACCTTATCTGAACATACTCTGTTTTGAAAATTCCCACAGCATATTGTACCCTTATAGTTAGTTATGTACACGATTTTCTCCCAGTTATCTATTGCTGCATTACAGATAACTGCAAAACTTAGTAGTTTAAAACAGCCATTTTATTATGCTTCTGGTTTCTATGGGCCAGGAATTTGGAAAGGGCACAGCCAGGATGATGTGTCTCCGCTCCATATATCTGGGGCCTCACTGGAGAAGGCTTAAACTCTGGGGGTAATGCTGTAGCTGGAATAGCAATCAGCTAGCAGTGTCTACTTACACATCTGGCAGTTGATGCTCGCAGTTGGCTGGGACCTCACCTGGAACTGTGGGCCAAAACACCTGTACATGGTCTCCTCACAGCATTGCAGCCTTGGATTTTTGTTACGTAGCAACTCAGTGTTCCAGAGAACCAGCTACATGCTGCATTGTCTTTTATGGTCTAGTCTCAGATGTTGTATAGTAGAAGTTACATAGCATCACTTCTACTTTATAGATCGACCAGTCTTTATTGTGGCTCAAATCCAAGGGGAGGGACATAGATCCACCTCTCAGTGGGAGAAGCGTCATAGAATTTGCAGACATGTTTTAAAACTACCATGCTCATTTAGCAAATAGTAAGCTCCCCACTGTGTCCTGGTATAGTCAGTCCTATGTACATTTCAATAGACAGTCATTGAAATATTGAATTTTTCTTCTTAACTACAGTACATTTGGACCTAAAGTAAATTTGTGTTTAAAGCTTTTAAAGAGGTGTAAGATATTTCTTAAAAACTTTTCCTTAGTGTTTTTTTTTTTTTGTATTTTTATTTGTAGAATACAGTATTTAATGAAAAATCCATGCTTAAGGGGTGAAAATGGCAGGCTTCCTAGATAATTTCCGTTGGCCAGAATGTGAATGTATTGACTGGAGTGAAAGAAGAAACGCTGTGGCTTCTGTGGTGGCAGGTATATTGGTAAGTGAAAAAGCCTGGTTGGTGACATTTATGCCTCATCTTTTGCCCTGAAAATTAATGCTGATTCCTTTGAACTGTGAATACCTATTTAAAGCTAGCTATTTCACTGTTATTTTGTATAAATAATTGTCAGAGTTCTAGATACTGAACTCAATATGGTAGGAGCTGAGTTCATTTGACTGTAAATTTGCTAAACTTAATATCTTTTCTTTAGTTCCAGTGAGAATACAATTATTGTAGGAAGTAACATTTTTAAGTTATTGATATATATGTCTTTTAAGATCCTTAGAGGCTCAGAATTTGATGAAAGCAAATATTATGGTTGTGACTCATTGAAATTCGAGATGCGTAGACAGTAGTGATGACCTTAGGCTACATTAGAACTGATGCCCTGCAGTGCCCTAGGGAAGAGATGCCATCTCCATTCCCCTAGCGGCAGCAAGTGGGAAGGAATTTGTAGAGGAAACTGTTGCTTAATTTTCTTCATAAAAGTTTTTTTTTTACTTTTTATTATTGAAAATGTCAAGCATATAAACAAAAATAGTGAGAATGGTATAAAGAGCCCTCCTCTTCTTACCCCATGTACTTAACAAAAATCAAATTGTGATCAATCTTGCTTTAGCATTCCATCAGCCAACCACTCCCTAACCCTACTGAATTTTTTGAAGCAAATTTCGGTATCTATTACATTTTAAAAATTCATCTCTTTTAGTCTGTGGTTTTATATCCGAAGTCCAATAGAGAAAAATAAAACAGCAGGAACTAAAGATAATTGCAAAGCAATCTGCATACTGAATTCTTTTGGATATTTCTGAGTTTTTCTTGGTCTCTATGGTCATCTCACCTCCACTTAATTTGTCTATGAAATTCTTTAGCAACTTGTCTACGTTAAGTCTATTCAGTTAGTTTACGTAGAAACATTATTTTACAAACTCATGTTTAGTCAGTTACATAGTATTTAATCAGATTATGTAATTAATACTGGAGCAGGCTTAAATAGTTTTGGAGACATGAGAGCTGACTCTTGCTAAGCATACAGCTCATTTTTGGAAGGAAAATTGCATGGGCATATTATAAAGGAATGTTCTTTAGAATGAAATACATCAGGTAATCAGGGAGCTGGTTAGTTGGAAGTTAGTTAAGAGAGCTTTGGTTGCATACAATTATTATGGTGTATGAAAGAAGTGGATAATTCATTCCCTGATAATACATTTTTCTTCTTGCATTGAGAGAACTTCGGAATCGTACACAGTTTTGATTAGTTAGGTTTACCTCATGCTATAAAGGATAAGTAAACAAGGATTCTTATTTTTCATATTTCAACATCCAAAATTCAAACTAGAAATATTTTATGTTTCATTTATATGGTCTGTAGAAGAAGAGGAATGTTTAAGAGCAGATGTGATGCTAATCTAAAATATTAGTGTTATTTTAATGACTTGGGTTCTTTCTCAAGTTTTTTACAGGTTGGTGGATAATGATTGACGCAGCCGTAGTATATCCTAAGCCAGAACAGTTGAACCATGCCTTTCACACATGTGGGGTATTTTCCACGTTAGCTTTTTTCATGTAAGTATGAAGGTAATTCTCAATTCAAGATGATTTTTCTAAAAATATATTTTCCTTAAAGTTTAACACTCTCTGCTATCTGGAATAAAATTTTAATTTAATTAATGGATTATTTAACATGATAAATAAATTCCCATTTTATGAAGATTTTTTTTAAATCAGGAATGAGTGTTGAATTTAGTAAGATATCTTTTTAGCATCTGTAAAGATTATCATGTAATTTTTCTCCTTATATTTTGTTAAACTGGTAAATTACTGTATTTTATCAGTTCTAAGATTATTTTTTACATTTTAACTCCTCTGCATATGAGGTGCTTTTTATAGTCAGTGGTATCTTATAATTACAGTTGATAACATTTTTTCTTTCTTGGCAAGTTAAAAAATAATGATGCCTCTAAAAAAATCAGTGGCATCTTAGATTTCATGAAATATGTTATATTTCTAGATTTTTTAGTAGTGAATCATCCTTAAGTACTAAACTTTTACCATGGATTATCATTTTTTTTTAATGTGTCTTGACTGTGTTTGCCAGTATTTGGGGGTGGGAGGGTGAGGGCAGGATTGGTATCAAATGAGAAGGAAATAGCTTTTCTTTTTTATTAAATCATTTTTGGATTTATTCGTTATCTCACTTCGTCAAACAGTTTGAAAGCTTTTCATGGATGTCTTTTAATAATTAAAAACTCTTAAACTTTAGATTATATAATTTCCTTATACTGGCAGGAATTTTTTTTAAAGTTGAAATTACAGAAGATGGAATTACTTATATTCATTCATACAAATGTAACTTGCTCTAACAAAAATGCAAAGGGAAGCTGAATAAAGTGGGCCTATTTATTATACATAGACCAAACATTCTCAGAGTTTGAGAAATGTAACAGAGAAAACCATTTGACTTTTAACACAGAGAGAAACTTTTAAACTTTTGATATAATGAGAGCCTTAAAATGAGAAAATGCACACTGAGTCATTCATGTATAAATATAAAATAGGCAAAGAAATCAGAAAAATGGCCTCTCTTTCATAATCTCTGGAGACAACTAATAGTAATCTCTTAAAAATAAGGGTGTTTTCTGGGTGTACTTTAGGAAAAAAAAGACTAATGTGACATTTGTATCTACTAGGTTATTAAGTTAAAAGGCATGTTCAGTTATTCAGATATTGGCTTTAGTTAGGAAATATTTCCCTTTGAAATATTGGTGAATATTTTAGCATCATGAAAGCTTATTAGGTGATTTTTGTATTGTTCTAGGATAAATGCTGTGTCCAACGCTCAGGTGAGAGGTGACAGCTACGAAAGCGGCTGTTTAGGAAGAACAGGTAAAGGCGCTTTGAGTTGTTAATGTATGCTGGTGAAAGGGGGATTTCTCAGAAAATACAGAACCTCTAGTGAGTCTTTAATTAGGACTGGTAATGGTTATGTGGAATATTTTTTTATTAATTTTTAAAAAAAGTTTGAAGTGTTATTTAAATCTTTAGGATGATTAAAGTTACTTCCAGAAGTTACTATTTTTGTCATGTTATACTGCCCATAGTATATGGATAAAATGTTACTATTCAAAGTCAATGGATCTTGGACTCCAGGTTACTCTTCCAGTGCTAACGATGGATTGATTATTCTTATCTCAAATGTTGACCAGTTATATTCCTTATGAGGTGGTGTCATGATTACCAACAGCGAAGCATGGGCACGTTAGGAAATCAGACCTAGGCCTACAGTGTTTTTCACATTCAGTTCTGATCACCACCCACACACTGCAGCAAAATCGTTTTAGAAGAACATGCTGTTTGTCTACATATAAATAATTTTTTTGGAGGTTGAATTCTTTTGAATTGTCATCCAATAGCATTTCCTTTTATTCAGATTATAACACAGTCTATTAAAATCCAGGAGTTTGTTTTTAGTGGGATTTCCATGCTGTATGGAAAAAACATAAATTTATTTCCAACCTTTAAGGACTACAGAGGGTGATTTGTGGTTATCGTTGGAAATTTGAAGTAGGTGCCAGAGGAATTTTGAAGGATGATGAAGAATAATAGCAAATACATGTAGAATAGAGTATACCGGAGACTGTCCTGAATGCTTTACACATATAAACTTATTTAATAGGCACAGTATTCCTATAAGGTAAGTGCTCTTATTGCCCTCAGTTTTAGAGGAAGGAACTAAGACACACAGAGATTAAATAACCTGTCCAGAGTCACAGAGCAAGTAAGTGGCGGAGCCAGGATGTAAACACTGACAGTCTGGCTCCAGAGCCCACGTCTTTTGCTACCGTGCTATGCTCGTTTCCAGTTGAGAGCCATTTGGTGTCTTTGTCTGATACAGTAATATATATTTATTTTTTGTCAACTTGATTGGGTATAATTTGTATAGAGTATCAAATAAAATTCACTAATTTAAAATGTACAGTTTGATTAGTTTTGACAAATGTATACCGTTGTGTAACTGCCACTATAGTCATGTTATAGAACACTTCCATTGAAATCCGCTCATGGCCCTTTGCAGTCAATCTTCTCCCCTCAGTTCAGCCACAGCAAACTCATCTGCCCTCAGTCACTATAGTTTTGCCTTTTCTAGAATTTCATATGAGTGGAATCATAAAGTATAATATTTTAAACCAAATAAAGAAGATGTGAAGAGCTTAGCTTTTTTAAAAAAAGAATTTAATTTAAAACATTTTTGGTGGTAAGAACACCTAACATGAGGTCTACTCTCTCAGTGAAATTTTAAGCGCACAGTACAGTGCTGCTAACTGCAGGTGAGGTGCACAGCGATCTCTGGAGCCTACGTTCATCTTGTATGGCAGAAACTATGCCCGCTGAACAGCCGCTGCCATTTCCCCGTCCCCAGTCCCTGGCAATCACCTTTCTACTCTGTTTCTGTGAGTTTGACTACTTAGATACCTCATATAAGGGGAATTGCGTTTTTTAAAAAAAGGAAATCCTGCTACATGCAATAACACAGATAGACCTGGAGGACATTATACTAAGTGAAATAAGCCAGTTACAGGGGAACAAATTAGCTTTCTTTCCTACCCGATGCTTTCAATGCTGATGCACATTTTCTAACTTCGCTTCCATTGGGATCCTTTAAGAACTGGGGAGGAGGGGAATCGTGACAAATGACAGACAAACCTAAGTTAGAAGTGCACTGTGTGTGTGCATGCACATACATGTGTTGCGCCCCACCCTCAGCAGGCAGTGTCAGGAATGAGTAAGAGTAAAGAATAAGAAAGCATGTATTAGCAAGTGAAACTCTTGTGCATAGAGCACGCAATAATTGTCTGATTGTTTTTCTTTTGAGAATATTCCACAGACGTGGCTGTGGATTATGTTACTATTAACTATTTTCTGTAGGAGATTTCACTGTACCTTACCCAAAGTTTTTTAGCTTACAAGTAGAACTTGTATTTGCCTTGGGTCTCTCTGGTCCCAAAGCCCATACTTTTTACCCTAAGTTATTACATTTTATTCCATGACTATTCCCCTACCTAGTTAAAATTTATAATTCAGATTATACGTATAGTTTATATGTATTTACATGTGGTACATAGTGCTTCAAAAATTAAGGATGAACCGTCTCTTAGGCATGCTCAGGTATTGCACCATGTTGAGTAATGGCGTGGTTTTAACATGAAAAGGGGACCCATTGGTCTTCATTCATTTTCAGTATCTCATTCCTATGTGGTAATGGCTATCTGAAATACATTTGCTACTTCTAGTAGAGCAATTACTTTGATAATATATATGCAACAGGGTAAATTTTCAGGTAGAGTTTAATTAATCAATTTAGTCAGATAATCACTTATGAAACTTGCTTCGTTTAGTTTATTCAGCTATTAGTTTCTCTAGCCAGTAGAAAAGTAACTTTCCCTTTTTCTCTTTCCTTTTTAGTTTTTTAGAAATCTTCGTTCACTTAACTGTTCCAGTAGGCATATGTAAACCTGTGACTGTCCTTGCAAAACATATGTCAGGTTAACAGTGTTTCTGGTGTTATGTGTCCTAAAACATAGAGCTGCAGAAATGAGCCAAGTCATAAAGCCTATTCTTCACACAGGTGCTCGAGTTTGGCTCTTCATTGGTTTCATGTTGATGTTTGGGTCCCTTATTGCTTCCATGTGGATTCTTTTTGGTGCATATGTTACCCAAAGTAAGTATTCATTCCTCCTTTATTTCATAGAGAAGATTCAGATATGTCTTTATATTTGGCTTAGTTTGTTAACTGCACCTGGAATAAAATTTAGTTTAATTACTCAGCTTGGAATTATGACTCTGTGTGAAGGTACATATGTTGCTGAATAAAACTTCTTAGTGGGGTCGATGATTGCAATGGGATAGCCTGATTAGAATACAAGCCACTGATAAGACTGTAACTCTTAACCATCTCGAGAGTTTCTGATCTCCTTCCTTACCCTGGGACAGCCAGGCTCTATGCTAGAGGCCCATTTACTGAGGGTCGTAGTAGTAAAAGTGAGAAACCTGTGCAGGCCTGTAGTCCCTTATCCACAACCCTAAAATCTACACAGTGCTAAAAGTTAGTTTTTCCATTACCAGTTGGGCAGCAATACCTGACCTAACTTGATATGGGGCTCATTATAGTCTTTATTCCATTTAATAAATCTTCAAATGTTTCCTTGCAGGAATGTGGTTGTATTTGATTGTGGGATGCTGGTCCCTACCTAGCTGGGTTTGCTATGTAATATTTCTATCCTGTGTTACCATTCTTAAATTTGAAAAATTCTGACTTCCAAAATCTACCTTGCCCCAAGGATTTCAGATAAGAGGTTGTAGACTGCAATATCTTTCTTTCCATCAATACCTCTTCTCTTGAACCCCAGCCTGTAGTTTTTTAGTCAGAGGTCCAAGGGGAGTGAGTTTTTTTAAGGGCAAGACTGAAGATGTGTGTGTAGTCTTCATGCAGAAACTGTTGATGCAGTAGAGTGAGCTCTTAGAACCCATTCTGAGTTTTCTAGCTGTTCCAGGCACCACAGCTTTTCATCCAGGATGGGGTTGGAAAGCAGGACCCCATCTGAGCCTGTGCCTCTGGAAGCATCAGAAGAAGCTGTTTCATTGGCTCTCTCCCTCCCTCCAAAGGCAGGAGTCAGTTTCAGATAGCACAGCTTATTCATTTCCTGACCCCTCTATCTCTGGAATTTCTTTGTCACTCTGCTTAACTGTCACATCTCCTTGTCCTGACCCACGGCTGACCTTTTAATAATCTTGATGGATTCCCTTAAGTCTCATACTTTGATCAGTATCAGATCTTAGAAAACCTGTGTCTTTCACTTGGCACAGAATATGTCAGTACAAGAGGACAGTGGTTGACTAATGTTTAAATAATACTGCTCACCAAATATATCTAAGATGTGTTATTTTAGTTAATTAAAAATGCTAATGGAGCAAGCACCCAGTTCTAACATGCAGCTCATGTAAAGTGCTTTTTTAAAAACAACTTTATTGACATGTAATTTGCTTATCATGTAATTCACCCATTTAAAGCCTACAGTTCAGTGTTTTTAGCACAGAGCTGTGCTACCATCACCATGATACAATTTTAGAACTTTTTTTTATCACCCCAAAAAGAAACCCATTAGCAGTCACTCCCCATTTCCCTCTCCACCAGCCCTAGGCAACCACTAACCTACTTTCCGACTTTGTAGATTTGCCTATTTCATGCACACGGGATCATATAGGAAGTGCATTTTAAGCTCATTTTATCCCTGACTCTAAGAAGGGTGGGCTACTGTTACTGATTTTCTTGGAAAGTCTGCCTAGTTACTTGAAGCAACACGTGAAACTTTCCATTTTCTATTAGGAAAATAGGAACCAGTTATCATTCCTGAAAGGTAATGGGAAGTACTCAGTCTATAAAGGCTGTGCAGCGATGGATTGTATGTGAATCTTTAAAGAACTGGTACATACTGAGCAGTTTCTCGATCATGGACCTCATCTTATTTCTGCAGCATTGCTCGTTAAATATACTTTTCCGTTAACTGGATATGGTTTTACTTCAGAGAGCATTTCTAACACATATTTCAAGTCTTTTACTGTACAGGTTTTCTTGAGCTGTTAATAATCATGATAGCTATATAATTTATATAGCACTTTATGGGCCAGGTACTGTTCTAAGCATTTCTCATGCTCTGTGTGAGAGATGCTGTTATAATGCACATTTTACAGAGCAGGAAACTAAGGCATGATGAGGTTAAGTAATTTGCCTATGGACATACATTTAGTCAGTGGTACAGTTGGGATTCAAATCCAGGAGTCTTACTCCAACTTGGGGCACTTAACCATGCTGCTGCATTGTTTGCTATATCAAAAGGTAAAAACTGAATGTTTTTTAATCCTTTTGAGAATTTTTAATTAACACTTATAGTTTTATAAAAATTAAAAATTCTCAAAAATTTAAGTAGTTTCCAGTTTTTTCTTTTCTCTTCCTATAAAAAGAAATTTCCTCCAAAAGAAATTCACTGACAGCATGATGATGAATTATAATGACCCTTTTCCTAATCCGTCAGGTTTGTGGAATAAAACTCCTGACTTTATGAAAGAAAAAAAATGAACCGTCTATTAAGTCATCAGGAATTTCATTGGTATCTTTCTAACATTTTGTATTTCTGTATTGGCCGTAAGAAGTAAGGAGATGAGCTGCTGCTTCCTCAGCTGTCTTGATCCAGCTAGAACAGTAAGAGTTACTTTGGACAAAAAGGAAACCTAGTAAGCTCATTGCCTTTGATCCAGTGTAAGAGCAATCCTTTGTTTTGGGTAAATGAGACTGGGCATTTTTAAATTTCAATTTCATTATAGATTTCTTAGAGTTAAGAAATAATAATGGTATTGTTTTAATATACAGCATGTTATGAATGGCACATATGCTTTGTTACTGCCAATTGCCTTTTGTAATCTTCTGGGTTTTTTTATATGTGCAGATATTGATGTTTATCCAGGACTAGCTGTGTTTTTTCAAAATGCACTTATATTTTTTAGGTAAGTTGTCTCATTTCTTAACCATACCTAGAATATTTACAGAAATGTCATCTTTATTATAAGGGCAGCACATGCAATGGAACATGTTGAAATCTCTTGGATTAGTCACAGTATGTAGACCTTCTTTTAAAGGATGAAAATACTCTTGTGCATAAGAGTATACATAAGCCATTTAATTAGGGGGCCTGCTATGGGCCAAGACCTCAGCTGGATGCTATATGTTACCATTTAATTTCCATTTAATTATTTTAAATATATAAACCAGGTTCCCATTAAGTAGATGAGGAAATAAGGCCCAGAGTTTACTTAAGGACACCTAGCTAGTACATGCAGACCTGCTATTTGAACCAGGTTGCTGTTTTCATAGCCTGTGTTTTGTTAAACAAATCCATATTGGGTATCTTTATTAGAAAGGAATAAAGGGAGGGAGAAAGGGATGGAGGGAGGGAGGGAGGGAGAGAAAGGAAGAAAGGAAGGAAAGGAAGGAAGAAATTAGAATAATACATGCTGTGAGTGTCTTATACATAACCTGGTAGGGCAGTTGGGTTTTTTTAATTAAGTTTTTCAGGTAAAGTAAGTATTAAAATGATATTAAAAGTATTTTTTAGGGGCTGTCTTCTAAAGTCCCCCAAAGTGAAGCCTGTAGCCTATGCTTTTCAGAATGGACGTCTTTCAGTGTTACGACAGGTATTTTAGGCATTCATAAGATCTAAGCCTTCTTTGCTTTTATCACAGGTTTTAAGCAATTTATGATATGCTAGGGTGTCATTTTCTTCATATTTCTTCTGCTTGGGGTTCATTGAGTTCCTTGGATCTGTGAGTTTATAGTTTTCATCAAATTCGGAATCTTTTCAGCCATTATTTTTTCAAATACTTTTTCTGTCCACTTTGCTCTCCTGGGATTCCAATTACATGTATATTAGGCTGCTTGAAGTCATCCCATAGCTCACCAGTGTTTAGTTCTTTTTTGTTTTTGTTTTCTCTGTTTCAATTGAGATAGTTTCTATTGTTGTATATTTAAATTCACTAATCTCTACTTCTGCAATGTCTAATCTACTATTCCTCCCATCCAATGTACTTTTCATCTCAGACATTATATCTTTCATCTCTATTAGCTTGATTTGTGTCTTTTTTTTTTTTTTTTTTACATTTTCTGCATCTCTCCTTAACACGCTCAATCTTTCCTCTACCTCCTTGAACATATGAGGTATGTTTACAAATATTTTGGTGTCCTCGTCTAATTGTGTCCGTTCTGAGTCTGTTCCTGTTGATTTCTATTTTATTTTCATTTTGGATCCTTTTCCCTTGTTTGCTTCTTTGCATGCAGGTAATTGGGGGCTGACCTTCTGGTAGTTCTTTAAAATTTTTTGACCTTTTTTTCTGGATGCAGTTAGGTCCCTTGGAAACAGTTTGATCCTTTCGAGTTTTGCTTTGAAACTTCGTTAGGTAGGCCTAAGCAGCTTCAGTCTGGGACTGATCTGATTTGTCCCCTGTACGAAAGCAATAGACTGAGTATTCTTCCTGATGCTCATGAGTTCTGTGATTTCCCACTGTTTATGACATTACGAGGTCCTCCCAGCCCTGTGAGAGCTCCGGGAATTGTTCTTTCCTTTGGGTCTTTGGTATGTTCTTTCCTTTTCTCGGATAATTTCTTCATATTCATCTGCTGATCGATACTCAGCAGAAGGCTCAAGGAGAAGCCACTACACATCTCCTGAATGCTCTTTCTCTGTAGCTCTCTGTACTCTGCCTAAAAACTGTAGCTTTGGCATCCCTGAACTCTCAACTCCATTTCCTCAACTCAGGGACACCGCCGTGCTCCGCCTGGGTCCCTTTATTACACCATGGCCTGGACACTCGTGGCTGTGGAAAATGTTTGACGGTTTTCTGCTATCTTGTGATTGTATTTCTTGACATGTGACTAACAGCCTTCTGGCGACACAGTAAGTTTTCGTGAAGACATGTTAGGCACTGTTTAGAGAGCAAATTTAAATCCGAATTCAGCCTCGTGTAGTGGTAAGTGAGTCCACATCAACGACAATTGGAGGAACAGAACCTCGAATGTACGCATGAAGGCCCATGCTCACGTGAGTGGTGACTGCTGCATGAGCTCTGTGCTCTGCCCAGAGGCTGGCGAGGTCCGTGGCTGGTTGAGTGCGCCCTGCGCGCTGGGCCCGTTCTGCGTGCCGGATGCAGCTCCTCCTGTCTGGCCGCCCTTCCTCTGTTTCCTTCCTTTGTAAGCTGACCCTCCACCCCCTGGCCACTAATGGCTGAAGTTTCTTAGGGCTCTAGTCTAGGCATTCTTTTCTCTACTCACTGTTCCAGGCATTCTCTTCTCTACTCGCTCTTTTTCTCTGTCTGGGCGAGCTCCTTTATGCTTAGGACTCCAGTTATTCTATATGCCGATTAGTCACATGTCTCTCCCCACGTCTAAACCATGTACCCAGACTCCTACTTATCCCCTCCTAGGTGGCTGACATTTCAAATCCAGCACATCAACGTGCCCGCTCAGCTCACGGTCCCACAGCGTCCCACCTCTCCGCTCCTCTCCCTCTTTCTCCCTGCGCTTTGCTGAGATAATTCCCACTCTTGTTTTAGACCTCAGTCCGGTCACCATCCACCTCCTCAGGAAAACCTCGACCTCTCTCACCAGGTCAGAGCCTTCTGTTGCGCTCTCTTGGTGCCATGTACCTCACCTGTACAGCGCTTTTTTTTTTTTTTTTTACAGTTGAGATGTGATTGTCTCCCTCAGTAGACTCTTAGCATCATTCGTGAGCACATTTGCCTTTTTTTTTACTCATGATCACATTACTAGCACTTACCCAGTACTCAGTGTACAATCATTATTTGCTAAATGAGCAGAGAATTGTAACATGGTTTGTTTTAAGGTGCTTCAGTTACTATAGCTCAGATACCATAGAATGCCTGCCACTATGAGAAATCCCCCTTTTCCTTACAAATAACTTTCTGGGCATTAAGGGAGGATATTTAATTAAGCTAAGCCATCAAGGTCAACAAACTACTCTACAAAAAAAGCAAATTTAGATCAACACCACCATAGTGTTTAATTTAGAAATTGTTGCAAAGGGATCAGTGAGGTATCTGTGAAAGCATATTTAGAAAATGAATTTTCCGTTGCTTGTTCCATGTGTTTTTTTTCCCCCCTCATGATTTATTTTAATATCTTTATAGCACTCTGATCTACAAATTTGGAAGAACCGAAGAGCTGTGGACCTGAGATCACTTCTTAAACCACATTTTCATTTTGTTATATTCAATTTGTAGATAAATTTTTATCTTTTAATATAGTTATACATTGCCAAATGGAATAGACTGTACATTAAATATCTGTTTCTTTAACCTTTTATGCTCTAAGTTTTGAAATAGTTTTATGAAATTTCTGTCCTTTTTTTTAATGACTAGGTTGTTAATATGTACATAATATAAGACTATATAGATGAGATGATCAGTATCAGTCTTTTATTCCTGAAAATTTAAAGCTTGATCTGTTTCCTGAGCCAGGGTTGTGTCATCATGTCATCGTAGAGTTAACTATTTTGTTTCAGTATCTCTAATTTCCGAAGATGTGCAAAAAATGTAGCTCCAAATATTTGAAATAAGCACTGAGCCATTAAAAAAGGTATTTCAGCAAGTTGTAATTTATTTTGGCTTAAAAAAATGAGATTTTTTTAAAAGGAAAAATATTTGTTCCTGTGTATTAAAGAAGTGGACTTTTATATGAAGATTTTTTAAATGCCTGAAAGATGAGTTCGAAAGCCTGTCTTAAAAAGTTAGTTCTTACTATGACTTCATTTGAAAGGGGAAAATACATGGTCAGATAAGCTCAGTTTTATATGGTTACTGTGAAAAGACTGTAAGGCAGCTCAGCCACATGCTTCTTATAAAAGCAGCTTAAGTGATCTATCTACTGGGGTTCTCTTTTGACAGCCTCTCATTATCCGGCATTACAAAATTAAACATCAGGCAAGTTTGAGACAACTGCAGTTTAAAAGCTTGAACCATATAACAAAGAGTGGAATAATTAGTTTCAAGACAAAGCACTTCTTCCTAAAGGGAGTTATTATGACCGAGTGAAAAATTAGGCGTTTCATCCATTAGTTACTAACTGCAAGTCTCTTTTCGCTCCGGCTCTCGAGCTCTGGGCAACTCTTCCTGTAAAATATATCTTTAATCTAAAAGTGCATAGTCCAGTCAACTTCTTTTGCTGAGTTCAAAACACTGTATTTGCACTGTGTATATTCCTAGGAGAGATTTCAAGTGGGTATTTGGGTCTTTATCTCTACTGTTGCTTTCCTTTGTTATACAGGTTTCATGTTGCACTGTTTTCCCCCAGAGGGATTTCATAGAGCCTTTTGTTGCAAGACAGTATCAGTGGTCTTGTATGCAGCTTCTAACACGAGCCTTATTTAGCTTAACTTCTCTCCTCGAGAGGATTTACAGTGCACAGAGTATGAAGCAGTCGTGGACACTGTGCCTTTGTCTAGATGCCATCTTGTTTAATTACTTCTTTCTTTGTTGTTTTTTTCCCCTCAAAATGTCAGTAAACTTTGTCTTGCTTCCAACAAATTGTAAGACTTATTACTTGTTTCCATTCTCTTGTAACCTGCTGTAATAAATAATTACTTCTAACACATTCTAATATTGTTCAATCTGTTTGAGATAATGAACCATAAAAATCGGTTTGCTGTTCATTTTTCAATTATTCAAGTAGACCCAGTCAAAGAGGTGTTTATCTTTATAAAATAAGGAGTGTGGAGGAGAAACTGTCCGTGATGTGGCTGGATGGGTCTAGAATGGAGATCGCTGGCCGCACCCCCACCCCCTTAGCGGCTGTCCGATCATAATTGATGTCCATTCTGACATACATCAGCGCCCCTCCCCTGCCTCCCATGCCACGCTGGTTCCTGCAACAGGCCCTTGTCCTGACTGGTCAAGCACGTGACGTAATCTCCCGTACCTGGTAGCATTCACGTCCTAGCTCTTATGACTACACCCCGTTTCCCCTGTATAATTCTTTGGCACGTGCCAAGCGGTGTGGGGATCCATATCGTCTCTCAGCCGCCCCAGACATGCCTCGTGTGCATGTAAGTTTCCCTTAAATAAACTCTGTTAATCACCAGACTGGAGTGGCCAGCCTCTTTCTTTGGTCTTTCCCTGCCTTCCACTTATGGAGGTAGGTTTTCGGTCTCAGGGCTTTGCCCTGGGTCTTGCGTTCTAACAGTTGCTGAGTCAGCCAAGAGACTGAAGAAATGGGCCTCAGGAAAGAGGCATCCATGGGGAAAACTGCAGGTGGGCCGTCTACTTCTCTGTGGGAAGAGGTGGCCCATATGTTAGATGCTTGTAGACCGCCATGTGGGTACCGGCTGCACCGAAAATGCAGGCTGGCCTCACGCACTTGTTTGAGGATCTACACCTGACACACTGTGGCAAGGAGGGGAAGTGCATGGCCGCAGCTGTAGGCGAGGTTTGCCTACCCACCAAAGCCCAGAGAGAGGCGGAGGCCAGGGTTAGGACATTGGAGGACAAAGTACAGCAGTTACTTAGCGGGGTATGCGCATAGCAATCTATGCCCCATTGTTCTAGGGACCTGGTCAGGCTTCTTTTACAGCAGGAACGAAAGCAAAGATTTAGCAAACAATACATGCATGGTACTGGACGCTTATTTCCATACTAAGCCCCATAGCGGGGCAGGACGTTTTGATGTTGGGCTAGCGCAGATCTAGGGGAAACCAGCTCTTCTCAGGAGTGTCTGAGCCACAGGACAGATAAGGAACTGGGACAGAGGAAAGGAAAAGGGAATTAATGCGGCAGGAAAGAAAGAGCCTGCGAGGACAACCCCCACCCACCCCCGAAAGCCAGTGTGGTGTGATCTGGTTGCCGCAGGCATCCCCAGAGCGCTGATCGGTCGCCAGCCTAGTGCGGTGATGGTGCGGTGCTGGTGCGGTGATGGAAGCCTTTAAAGCCAGAGCAGCGATGTCGCCTACACCATCCGCTCCCCCAGCGGACGTTCTGCGGGTGGGAGAGGTCACCTGGGATTTTATCCTGCTCTGGTTGGTGCCTCCCCCACTGCCGCCCCCAATATAGGATAAAGGTCAAGATCGTCCTCAGTTGAGAGCCACAGAGGGTGATCTTAGGCCGCATGTGGAGCTCACCATTCCTTGTTCTCAGAAATAAAGAGTGCCTGCTTTGGCTGACACTGGTGCTGAATGTGTCGCAACACATGGTAATCCTAGAAAGCTTTCTGCCCCCTCAGTGCTACAGCCGGCCTTGGAGGCCAGATGTAATGGTTAGAAAGGTCCCTCTTGTTTTGCAAATTGGGCACTCCCCCCCGCCCCCGCCCCCC